TTGGTAAGTCAATAGAATTGGCTTAGGTTTGATTATTAAGACTTTTAGGTGATTGACTAGGACTTAGGGTAACTAATCAGGGGTTGGTTAGGTCTGATTAGTTTTTTGGTCTAATCGGGACTTTTGATTGTCTAACTAGGGCTGTTAGGATCTAGATAGCACTTGAAGTAGGTCTGATTAGGACTTTTGAGAGACCAGGTAGACTCGGGATCGTAGGACTGGTTAGGACTTTGTTGGGGACCATGTAGACTCAGTGTTGTAGGTTTAATTAGACGTAATCAGGTCTAGTTAGCCTTAAGTTAGGTCTGGTTAGCCTTAAATTAGGTCTGGTTAGCCTTAAGGTAGGCTGTGTTTCGAGTCTAATAAGTCGGTTAGGTAAAATTATGCCTAGGGTAAGTCCAATCAAGTTTGTGCGAGAGTCTAAGAGGTCGGTTAGGTGAAAATATACCTTGTGTTAAGATCAATCAGGTCTGGTCTAGAGTGTATTAGATCCGTTTAGGTAAATTGTACCTAGGATGATGTACGATTAGACTTGGTTTAAAGTCCGTTAGATTGGGTTTAGGTTGAGTGCCTAGGTTAAGTCCGGTCAGGTCGTGTTTTCTAGGTCTTGTAGGTCTGATTAGGTAGAGACGTACCTAGGTTTAGGACTGATAGTCTAGGGTTAGAGCGTGTCAAGAACGGCTAGGTAGAAATATACCTAGGACTAAGTCCTCTAGGGTTCGGTCTCATCCCTTGTGTCATGTTACATCACTTCTAGGGTCGGTTAAGTCTCTTCCGGGTAGGGTCAGTTTTTTAGACTCTTGTCATATCGTCTTAGGATGATGGAGTTAGATTTTCTAACTCGGTATACCCCGAAAGGGGGTATGGTGGAAGGACTATCTAGGGGTCTCGGCAAACCTGAGAAATCGGGTTGCAGGAGTATGCCAAAGACCAGGTGGAGTGAGTGGTTCCACGGGTAGGTAGGAACACTACAAGAAGGTGTTGTAGGTCCCGGATGACGAGGTAGGGAGAGTCCGAGGTAGAAGGACATATGACCTCAGAGGAGTAAACCGAAGCTGCTTCGGTTCTCAGTGGAAGGTCAGGAGGTGAGGTCTTCACATTTAGGTAGAGCTTCCTTGGGTAGGATACTCAGGAGATGGTGTGAGCTGAGAGGTGTCGGGATTTCACCGGTAGAGTCGGTGTAGGTTGGTGCTAGGACACTCCCTCTCGAGGTGGAGCACATGCACTCACGTGTCTCATTCTCGGTGGAGCATCATAGATGACTAGGATCGTCTTCACGGGACAAAACCGTGGGACAATCTTAGTTGGCAGGTTAGGGTCCGAGGGTAGAAGTCACATACTCATAGGTAGTGTAGACTTCACGGAGATCCGGGCTAGGTATCTAGCGGGTTTGGTAGTATGACTCAGGTTAGTCTCGGGAGAAGTCGGGATAGACTTAGGAGACGGGTAGACGTCGGGTATAATCCTCAGGTTAGCTAGCGGGTAAAGTTTTGGACTTTACTAGGAGGGTTAGTTAGACGGTCTAGGGAGTCATACAACCGAGGGTAGCGTTTGCCGGTCGGGCGACGCATGTTAGGACTTCGGTTCGAGTCCTATCGGGGTGAACGTTCTAACACGTTTACCTAGTGTTTCAGGTTTGGATAAGTTGATCGGTAGCGGGATAAGGCGACGAGGCCTTGAGGAGTCATCGACGGGAGCTTCATCACATTCAGAGCGACACATGACTATCTCTGGTACATCAGGTAAGTGAGGTAAGTCAGGTAAGTTACGTTTTAAATTCCGACGAAAGTCGAGGGATCGACGAAAGTCGATCGGTGCTGGAAACGTAGAATCTCACTAGTGTTTATTGTTTGTTATAATTTTCATGTTCGTTCCTTTTTCCACCAAGATGGAGATTGTTGGGCTTCACAGCCCATATGGCGGAAAAGGAACGGCCCATAAACCATGGCCCAAAACGACGTGTTTCAATGTGAGGGTTAATGAACCCTAGGATTATTGCTCTCGTGTTACGAGCATGTGGCTTGAGGCAGGAGACGAAAAGGGAGAATGGAGAAGCCGAAAGAGAGATGGAGGAGCTTCTTGGCGATGCCGGAGCTCGGTTGACAGCAAGGAGGAGGTGAGATTGAAGGTCTCGGTAAGGGCTTTCTGGTTCTCGGTTGAATCTCGAGGCTGTTGTATTCTTTCTGGTTCTCTCTTGGGCGAGCCTCCGAATCTGTGTGGAGGTCGTCGGTTGTTGGTTACTACAGTTTCCATTCTCTAGTGGATTCACCGGCACCGTCCGGCCGAGATGTAGGCCCGAGGCAACTCGGTAACCGAACTCGTTAAAACCTCTGTCTTCTTCGATTCTTGAACACACGAGCGTCGGAGTGAAACTGCGAGGTCCGATACCGCTTCACATATAGTATGATAAAATATGTGATTACGTATACATATACACAGGTCTAGACCTACATGAAATTGGATGGGTTCCTACACCCTATCATATTATTAAAAAGGAAAAATGGCATAAACCCACACGAATTTTATCAAATGTGTAAAATCAGTCCATCAATTTTTAATTTGACAATTTTCCACACTCGATTTCAAATTTTCCCAATTACCCACATCAAATAAGAAAATGATTTCCAATTATCCACATAGAAAGGATTTAACATGCCAACTCAGCGTCTGATTACTGATGTGGCTTGAAACATAAAAAAAATTACCACGTCATCGAATCAGTTCACTTGGTTTAGAATATTTGATCCGGTTTTTACTAAACCGGATTTCAAAAAAACGATTTAGGGTTTCGAGTTGAAAAAAAAAGGTTTGAAACCTTGTCGGAATCCTAAACTTCGTCATCTTCCTCCTCTCGATTCTGATCCTCGCCGGCGGAATCTGGCTCAACCAAAAGGGCTCGACCGAGTGCGAACGGTTCCTCGACAAGCTCGTGATTGCAGTCGGAGTCTTCCTCATGATCGTATCGCCGTACTCGTCGTCGCGTGTTGCAGAGTGACGTGGCTTCTTTGGGTTTCTCTTCGTGATGTTCGTCTTGGTCTTGCTCATCTTTTGCTTCATCGTCTTCGGCTCCGTCGTCACGAGCAAATGAGGTGGAGAAGCTTTATCCAACAGAGGGTACATAGAGTACTGGTTCGGAGATTACTCTAACTGGTTGCAGAAGCGAGTGAACAACAACAAGAACTGAAACAAGATTTTTCACCAAAAAAAAAACTAGAACAATATCAGGAACTGTCTTGCCGATAGTCAAGATCAAATCCAAGTTAGTTGGTGACAGTGGACGATTTCTACTCGGAGCACCTCCCCCTTCTTCAGACACTGATAAAAAAAAACATGGATTAGAGGTCCAGATTCCTTGAATTCCTTCAAATTTGGCTGCTGTTGTTTTAGGGTTTTGTTTCTCCATTGATGTTTTGTCAGATTCATGGTTAATTTTTTATATGGATTCTGAATCTCTCTATAAACATGGTTTAGAAACTCATATTTTTTGTCTGGAATCTTCTGTTCCTCCCACTGGAAATTCAGATCCAGAAGGCAATTTATCGTCAGATCTAAGAATCCATTGACGAATTCTAGCAGATTTATCATTGAATTAATGTGAATCCATTGACCAAACCCTAAATCTCTCTTTTTTTAATCGGTTTAGTAAAAACCAGATCAAATTTATAAACTGTTTCTAGAACCGATTTAGTGATGTGTCATGTGATGTGTCTACGTGGTAATTTTTTTGATGTGTTAAGCCACGTCAGTAATCGGATGCTGAGTTGGCGCGTTAAATTTGTTTTTTGTGGGTAATTGGAAATTATTTTCTTATTTGATGTGGGTAATTGGAAAATTTTGAAATTGAGTGTAGGAAATTGTCAAATTAAAAATTGATGTACTGATTTTACACATTTGATAAAATTCGTGTAGGTTTATGCCATTTTCCCTATTAAAAATATATAATTTATTTATAAATTTGATAAAAAAAATTATAAAATATTATGAAATACTCCAAAAAATTTGTATTATTTTTGTAAGTTGATTGAATAAATTTGATAAAAAAAATTTATAAAATATTATGAAATACTCCGAAAAATTTGTATTTTTTTATAAGTTGATTGGATATTTTTTGTCCCCGATAATAAAATCTTTTACATACATACATACATACATAATCTAAAAATCCGCAATCATTACATGTTGGATGTGCATCAGATAAATCCGTATTTTTGTGCAAGAGTCGACAAATCACACGAGAAAGAATGTAAATCAGTAAATTATCTATAATTGATAGGTTAATATATGAGAATGCTAAAAGGATTCAGGCCTCTAACATTAGGGTTTAAGGGTCTAAAACATAAACAAATGACCTCTCAAAGGAAGCAGGTCCTATGTGGTGTATACCGCCCAAGCGATGATGGGTGTGGTTCTTTTCGGACAGGTAACTGAAAATCTCACACAAACATATCTTATTTGTGACATTAGGGTTTTATTTAAACTCATTTGATTATCTAATATTATTGGTTTGAGATTTACAAATGGAGAGAGACCCGAAACTAAAATCCATATGATTTTTTTTTTTGTATGTGTAGGAGATAAAAGGAGTTTTCAAGATGAATGTGATGCTCAAACTATCCCACCTTTAGAAACTTTTTGACGTTTCATGTGATTAAAACAATTTTAAAATAAATGGATTTAGAAAATATAATATTCTTTTTGGATAACCGGTATTTTGGATCGGAACCCAAACTAATCCCAAAACCAAAAGCAAACCTTGTGATTGAAATTATGGCTTTCCTCTCCAATTTGAAACTCAAACTCGGAAACAGACGTTTTACCATTTCACCGGTTGAACTATCCAAACTGGATTTTGAAAATGTAATATTATACATACACGTCTAGATAATGTTTTTTTAGCATTTTGTAAAAGAAACTCAAAATCGTTCGATTAGAGAGTTTATGATAATCATTTGTCTCCACCACGCACAAGCAGTTGAATTTACCAAATTACCATTTGATAATAACAATAACCAAAAGCATACCCGTTTCAATAAACCACATAAATAGACAAAAATATCTTGGAAGTTTTTCAAGTTCCTAACTAAGAAACTCATGGAAAAACCTCGACAAGACACCAAATGGAGAGATGAGATGACCGACCCGACACCGATGTTTTTCTCCCTCTACCTCTCCTGTGACTATGATTTCGAATTCACGAGCAAATGATCAAAAGTCTTTGAGATTTCGAACTGAGTAGCGGAAGATTGTTCAGAAAACTTTTGATCCAAAACCTACTCACAAAAAACTTCTGGCAAGACAAAACCTTAAGGAATGGTGACTAACAATCAGAGATTATGATCTATTGTAAGGGCAACCAGAAAGAAAAAAAAGTATATGGTACCATGGAGGAAAGGGTTCACCTTCCTCTAGAAATCGCTTCCTCCAGTTCCTCGTGCGACGAAGGAAACAGTTCTATATACCGACTCCCTAATGTCTTTCTGTCTTTCACCATTGCAGCTCTCGATTCCTCTGGATTCACAAACTCCACATAGGCTTCCCCGGTGGGACGCCCCTCAGCATTAACGGTTATATGGATAGAGTCTTCAGACAAATCGAAATCTTTAAAGAAGTCCAATATGTCTTCCTTCCCTGCCGAGAATGGCAGTCCTCTCAATCTCAGGATACCTGTGTATTCATCGGCGGATTCCTTTGAATCATCGTGAGATTTAGCCCTCTGCCCACTTGTCCGAGGTGAACCACCTCCACGGCCCCCGCTACCGCCACCTCCACTACCACTGCCACTACCACGAGTTTCTGCAACCTCGTTGGCAATAGCCATATAGTATTCCTGTTTCTTACTTCTGAAAACCTCGACATATCTCCTACCCATGTTCTGCCTGTTTTTCTGTAGGGCGAAATCAATCTGGAGGGGATAGCCAAGAACACAAAACGCTTCCCCGGTGAACTTATGGTTCTTGTGAACAAAAAGGATATCAACCACGTCCAAACCTCGGAAGAACTCAACTACGTCAAGTTCTGTGCAATTGAAGGGAAGACCACGAAGTCGAACGACCGGGAAAGGAGCCGCAGCTGTAAATGCATAAGGGTTGTACACAAAACCCGAACCGGGATGAGGTCCATAGAATGAAGGACCTTGATCTATCATCCTTTGACGCTTAGGACCCATTTCACGGTCATCACCACCGTCTCCGTACCTACATTCAGCAACCCAGAAAACCAATTACATCAAAATCAAATTCACTAGGAGCTGAATTCAGAAACCAAACACGATCCGAGAGTGTAATCAGATACACAAAATCCTAAAATCTGACTGAAATATCTTCCTTGTGCTGAAGTAAAGCTAGACTCAGCAGATTTTTGAGACCCAGTTTCTTGAACAATCTACAAATCGTCCAATCGAACAGATATAGAAGTTATCAGAAACTGAAAGGAAGGTAATTTAGGGCATGGATCGAACCAAGGACACCTAAACCCTAACTAAGGGAAACGAAATCGAATCAATTAAGAGAGAATCTAAGAGATTGAAGGGCTTACCCTCTGTAGAACATCTTTGACTCCGGACGATTCCAAGGATTTCTGTCAAACTCGGAAGAAAGTTCGAGGGAGCTTCGAAATGTGATGTCAATATGGGTTGCCCAACCCATTTGGGCCCAACCCATTTGGGTTTTAAAAATTATAGGTTTGGGTTGGGTCAACCCAATAATAATTGTTATATGGGTTGGGTTAACCCATAAAACCCATAAACACCTAGGGGTGTAAAATGGGCGGGTCGGGCCGGGTTCGGACCGGGTTCAATTCGGGCCTAGAATTTTTCGGGCCGGGCCGGCCCGCCCATTTATTTTTCGGGTCTAGGATCGATGGCCCGGAGCCCGGCCCTACAGGGCTTCGGGCGGGTTCGGGCCGGGCTTCGGGCTTTTTATTAAATAAATTTTTTTTTACGATAATAATAATAATAATAATAATAATAATATGAAACATTTAACAAAAATATTTTTAAAACCGATAACAACAAAGTTATTTAGTTCACAAATAAAAATAAAATTGAAAAAATTATCCAATTGTTCAATTCTCCAACACCACAACATGCGATTAAAAACTTTTAAACGTGATAAAAAATAACAAACATAATATAAAAAAAAATTCTATGATGTAATTAATTTAAAACCTATAGAAAAAAATCAATATGTTCATATACAAACAAAGGTTTTAGTGATGTCAATATGGGTTGCCCAACCCATTTGGGCCCAACCCATTTGGGTTTTAAAAATTATAGGTTTGGGTTGGGTCAACCCAATAATAATTGTTATATGGGTTGGGTTAACCCATAAAACCCATAACCACCTAATTAACCCATTTAATTTTCTCACAATAAACTTATTATCATTTAAACATAATAATCTTTGAGATATTTTTTTTAGTTCGTACACATATATATCGGATTCTATTTGAAAATTATACCGATTTTTCGGATATCGGATTATCAATTTTTTTGGTACCGTTCGGTTCAAAAACGACAATGAGTTTTTCGTTTCAATTCGGAAACGATATCGATTATTTCGGTTTGATTCAGAAACGAAATCGATTTTTTGATTATGTTCGATTCGAAAACGATATCGATTTTTTCGATTCGGTTCGAAAATGGTGCTGATTTTTCGAATATCGGGGTTTTGAAATTTTCGGTACTATTCGATTCAAAAATGGTAACAAATTTTTTTGTTCGATTCAGAAACAAAATCGATTTTTTCGATTCGAAAACGAAATCGATTTTTTCGATTCGAAAACGAAATCGATTTTTTCGATTCGGTTCGATTCGAAAACGATATCGATTTTTTCGATTCGGTTCGATTCGAAAACGATATCGATTTTTTCGATTCGGTTCGATTCGAAAACGATATCGATTTTTTCGATTCGGTTCGATTCGAAAGCGATATCGATTTTTTCAATTCGGTTAAAAAATGGTACCGATTTTTCGAATATCGGGTTTTTGAAATTTTCGGTACTATTCGATTGGAAAATGGTAACAAATTTTTTGGTTCAATTCAGAAACGTTATCGATTTTTTTGGTTGTTCGGAAACGATACCGATTTTTTGGATATCAGGTTTCTAAACTTTTTGGTATGGTTCGATTCGAAAACGGTAACGAGTTTTTCGGTTCGATTCGAAAACGATATCAATTTTTTTCGTTTTGATTTGAAAACGGTGCCAATTTTTTCGGTTCGGTTCAAAAACGATACCAAATATTTCGGTTCGATTCAAAAACGATAGCAAACTTTTCAATCCGATATTATATTTTTTAATTCGCATACATATATATGTTTATATATACGTACATATATAATATATATTTAAATATATATACAACGTATATTACTATTTATATATCTATATATAAGAATTTTAGTTATTATATAATAATATAGTGGGTTGAATGGGTTAATATAAATGTTAATGTTGATAATATAGTGGATTTTAATGGGTTGAATGGTTTAACCCATTTAACCCATGGGTTGAATGGGTTAAAACCCACTTAACCCATTTAAAAAAATTATTCAAATGGGTTAAACCATTTAGGTCAATAATCGGGTTGGGTCGGGTTAACTCGCATAACCCGACCCATTTTGACATCTCTACTTCGAATTGGAATCTCGCCGTTGAAATTTCTGATGAAGTCCACGAAGGGCGATGGGGTGGGCATTTCCTGATTTTATTGGGTTCGGTTAGATTTCGGTTCATTCGGTTTGAGTACAAAATCCAATCGAATTCGGTTCGGTTCGATTTGATTTGGGTTTCTTGGTTATTTACAGGTTGGGACTGGTTTGGATCAAATTGGATCTAAAAATATCAAACCAAATGAGATTTGGCTCGATTTCATTTGAAATTATCCGGTTTAGTCAGTTCGGTTTTGACCAAGACATCAACGATCAAACGATTTTGGGGATGCATTAGAGAGCATCTGAGTTGAGATGGTCAAACCAAAAGTAATAAGTTGCCAAAAATATATATTTTTAATATCTCTTGATATCGTCAATTACGTTAAACAAATCTTTTTATATATCTTAAAAATTATAATTCTTTCAAGTATATCTTAATATCTATTTTTCTATCCACAAATATTCATCGAAAAACATTTGATACAGTTAACACTAAATTACCACATCACCACGTCAAATGTAACCCAGAACAGAGAATAAACTGAACGCTAAAAGTTAATAAAATAATTTAATATATTTTTTATACCTTAATTTTAGATTTCTTTAGCTAATAATAATAATAATAATAATAATAATAATAATAATAATTCATCATCATTTTATATCATTGCGAATTTACGATCAATCTGAAAAAAAAAAAAACCGAATCGGAATTTCGATCGAAAGCCTCTACTTCCCATATCGGTTCACTGTAAAAAAAAAAATGTAATCGGAAGCTAGGTATAAGAGAATTATAAGGTAACAAAATACTTAGAGATTATACAAAATGATACTAAGACCGTTCCTTTCACAGATAATACACATTTGCTATTTCCACCTGCCAAAAAAACAACAAAGAAGATAATTTATAAGGTAGCAAAAGACTGAGATTAATATTAGGATTCAAAGATTTTTTCTACCCTTACGTTTACCATCTTAGTAATTTTGGGTTTACTATTTAAATATAGGTAATTATTATATTGTCCATTGAGATTTTTTCAATGGAACCACCACGTGATCTAAAGACCAACTGGGTATAGGTTTTGTAAAACCGATAACCAAACTTAACCAAAACCCGAAACCGATTTGACCAGTCCTAATACCAAACGCAATTGCAAGCAAAAACCGGAGAGTATATTTGATGTTGTATCGTACCTGTTGAACGCGGCAGCATCTGCGAAGAGATTCAAATGCTTTCTATTGATGACCGAATCTATATATTAACGACCGCTGCCCGTCTAATGCTAAATCCGAATCGAACCAAAACTGCAGCACTAGCCCTGTGTTTTTATGCATACACCCGCAGGGAAGCGAGATCGAGATCGCCTTTTTCGTTAATTTTCGCCAAACAACATGGACTGGCCTAGAACAGTTCTGACACGAATCTGCGGAAGCAAAAAGGTTCATCATCACGGCTGGCTGATTAAACAAACGGCGAGTACAAGGAAAAATGAAGAGAATCCGTCTTCTGACCTTAACGTCAAGGCAGGGATCAGTGACCATGTTCTTTAGTTGGGAAATAATGCCCGCATCCCGCAGTTTCACGTGCCGATCAAATGCACCCAGGCTCGAAGGGCTGGTGAGATTTATGATCGTCCAGACGGTGGCAGTGCGTAGTTTTTTCTCGCTGCTCTGCAAAAACTTGAGAACGAAATTCTGCGACCCGGACTCTGCTTCTTGAGGTAAGATTTGGTGCATAACTGCTTCTTTGTGTAACTCGGACCCGCTTGCTACATTTGTGAACACGTACATTCCCTGCGACGTGATTATTATCAGCAATCTTACCGTCAAAACAGATAGATAGACTTTCTATTTATAGTTTGATGCCCGACCTGTATCGCGATTTCGGGTTGTGGTACTTTCCTTAATTGCCTGCCCACAGCATCTAAGACAAGACAATCCTCGTCAAGCACGAACTCGATTGAGCTGATACATCCATCAACAAGATTGCGAAGAAGAGCCAAAGCTTGCTCTTGCACAGAAGGCTCGGGATCTGGGACAGTAGAGTAGAACATGAACGAATGCATGGGCAGTTTTAAAACAAAGCAACTGAAATCTGTACCGGTAATGAGGCGTGAAAATTCAGGAGCCTTGAGGTCTGAATAAATCATTTCTTTGCATTTTATGTCGGCGAGGAACATAAGGTTCCTCAGAGCTTGTAGAGCGCCAACCCGTGTTTGTGGATCCATCGATTTCGATAACTCGATGAGTTGTTTCGTGCCTCCACACTCTATGAATCTTGATCTACGCGTTGTAAAATCCACTACTATATTACTGATAGCACCGAGGGCTGAGACCTGGAAAAAGCAAAAAAAAATGACGCACTTGATATCATATCGAGATTGATTTCGTTACATCGGGTCTATATATGCGGAGAATACCTAATAACAGGCAATTAGGGTAACTGAAAACAGATATACCTGGACAGAGGTTGATGGATACTGCAGTAACTGAACCAAGGGAAACATAATTTTCTCGTCGATAAAAAGCCCTGCACTCAAATTCTAAATGATTTGTTTCAGGGGCCTAGCAACAAATATCAAGCACCTGAATACTCAAACTTTCCAGAATCCGTTGTTACAAACCTTGATGGATCGAGCAGAGTTTCTTAGGCAAATGCAAGCGGCGCATCGTACATCAGCACTTTCGTGTCTCAGACCGTCACTCAGCACATCTACCACCTAGTTCAAGGGACATATCGTATACAAAAACAAGAATTTTCTATAAGAGTCATCCGAATATTCAGAACTACAAAAGGAAATCTTGGTCACGATTATAGCATAAAAAATAGCTCTCTTCATGTTTTTCTCGAATTAAAAGTTTATCTTCGACACTCAGTTAAATATATGACACTAAATTGTATTTTTAGCCCAAATATTATGGATTTTCATCTATGTCAATGATTCTAACCTAAAACCTAGGAAGGGAGAGGAATATACCAAGACAAAATTATCTAAAATCACAATCGTATTACTAGCAAGAAAGATAACCTTTCACATGAAATATAGCAAGAAATTATCCGAATTTTCCTTACGTGGAAAGCAACTTAATCAAAGACAAGAAGTTTTCAAAATACACGACCAAGGCCTCCAAATTGTTCATGTGCCATTCACTCCTCCCAAACTTCCATTTGAGGACTAAGAATACTTGAGTGTTACCATTATCATTGCATGCAACCTTAAACCACTGCAAGATGGATGCCTTTTCATTCTCTAAGTATACGAGCAAATACCAAAGTAGCACATTTTCAAAGGAAACAGAACTGGAAGGCAAGTAGCCTCCTCATGCAATATGTCTAAGTAACTGACAGGATATTGACAGGATCCAAGCAGTAGATAACCTCATACTTCAATGCAGAAAGAACGTAAAATTACATCAGAGCAAAGGAAAGCAAATCATAGGTTCCTAAAATGACCACGTTAAGACCTAAAAACAAGTTCTTCTCACCCAAGAAGCAGACATTACATTTCAGATCAGTGAGGACTTTCTCAATCCGGATTACTATCCGATTACACGACAAAAAACAATTGTGCCCACAATGAAAAGGAAAAGGAAATAAAAATACTAGGTTAGAAGATGAACCAGTGCCACAACAACAACATATACAAGCTGGAACTAGAATAACCCGTTGAGACAGGAAAATAAAAGCCAATTGCAAAGGAAATCCAAGAGATAAACTGCTGAAAGTAATATATGCCAACACACCTGCAATGACAGAAACCTTGACCTGCACTCCTCCAGCTTTGAGCACATTTCTGCAAGAGACAGTAGCATTCCCTGACGACGTTTGGGACGTAGCTCACTCGTCCTTAAATAGTTAAGAAGCTTTTCAATAGCATTGGCCTCATAAGCTAATTTTTGCAGATCCTCCTTCCCAGCAAGCAGAGTAGAAAAACCCAAGGCAGCTTCATCTCCAACTTGACCAGAGTCATCAAGGAGCTCAAGCATAGTACTTAGCAGTCTGATCTTGATTCCCTTGTCTTCCAAATAGCATGGAGCAGAGTTGTTTATGACAACTAAACACAAACAAGAAAGCAACCTCGTCTTTGGATACCTGTCCTTTAGTAATGCAGTTACAGAACTCAGACATCTCCCATTTTCTATCCCCACAAATCTTGAAATAGCTTGAGAGTTGTCCTTTAAAACTGTAGCCAGTGATTCCAAGCAAGAATCTCTTTGGCTTAAAGAACCGTCAAGAAGGCTAGCGAGCTTCTCAAGAACACCGGCTTCGCATAGGAGTTGTTGCTCTAGACTTGTTCGACAAGCATGAGAGATAACGCTCGCGCCAAGTCCGCTGACATTTCCATTTTCGCTATTCAACAATGTAAAGAGAAATTCCATGTTTTTCTCTTGATGGAAGTCGTAGTTAGGAGCAAGTTTAGACTGAAATATCATTCTAAGTGAACGAGCACCCGCATCTACTACCTGAAGCATAAACAAGGAAATTGTTGTCACACCCATTCCCAATTAATCAAAACGGGGAATACTTTTTATACTGTCCTCAATCAGAAATGGTGCAAATCTATTGTAATCTTAAAGCAAGAAAGACATGCAATATTAGAAGCACGAGACATGGGAACTCGAAAGCCAATGCTTTGAAACCAAAACAATCCATATGATGCAGACAACAAACGAATGTCGGTTCCAGACATTCAAACTACAAAACCCTTCTCTTCCGTAGCCTTCGTGAAACCAAAATCCACAGACGCAATAACGCTTCAACGCAATTCTCAAATTGTTATTTAACATGACAAGCATTGACTAAAACGTTGAATCGCGTATTAAACACACAATCAAGTTCTTGCAGAATTTGGCATTCTTCCTTATATTCATTCAATGTCATTGCCATACGAAATCAAACACGAATCAGAAAAGCCGTGACCATGGACCATAGTCAAAAACGAATCACCTTCTCATCCGGGTTAGTGAGGAGCCGCAACAGGTGAGGAAAGGCTCCGGCATCGAGAACCGCCTGAACGCCAGCTTCGAAGCCGCAGGCGAAGCTCCCGAGCGCCGCCGCGGACTGGACAAGGATGTTCCCCTTGCCGCCGCATTTGTCGTCGTCTCCGGCAGAGTAGTAATCCGACAACACGGCGGAGATGGCGGGAACGGCTCCGAGTTTGAGGAAAGAGAGCTTCTTGGTGCGATTCCCGATGATCTGGTTCTTAACCTCGCGTAGGGCCTTGAGCTTGACATCGGCGTCAGGGGAGGCGATGCGGGAGATGAGGTCCCCCTGCCGGTCATAGGAAGAGGAGGCGGAGACAACGGAGACGGCGGTGGTGGGCATGTCGGAGATTGTGGCTCCGGGGGGGATCGGGATTTGCTCCTGTGGAGAGAGAGTTGGATGGGGAAGGGATGGAAGACCTATTTTTAACCAAAATTATTTGGTGGAAAAATAAATAATTTCTAAACATAGGCTTACGATTTTATTTTATTTTTTTAATTATGAAAATAAAGTTGGATTGGATGTGATAAAATTTTGGAATTAGTGATGGAAGAAACAAGTTGGGAATAAGTTTTTTAGAAAATGCTTTTAAAAATGAGTTCGAAAATTAATGATGTGGAAATCATTTATATTATTTTACGTGTTTCACATTTTTATCTAATTTTGATAATTGTATATTAAATGCAGACCTAAGAATTAACATATTTGTTCGTCACAAATTTAACATTTCAAGTTTTTTTTAATATTTTAGTATCTGAATTTCGATACCAGTAATCACAACGTAATGACAAAAATAATATGACCATAGAGAAAAATAATAAATCGATTTAGATTTGAACGTGATTGTTTTACCTGGCATGTAGTAAAATAATTGAAGTGTATATTTACCGTGTAGGAAAATATAAATTTGGATATCAAAACAAAACACATAAAAATTTGCACTAGTATTTTATAATTTTTCATATTTTTTTATAACAAAGTGTTTGGGTTCGTTTGCCAGTATTGTAACATTTTTCGGTTGAACAATATATATTAGTTATTAAATTATAGTATAATATTATAACTATATAATAATCGTATCATTAATTTAAAAATAGTAATTTAATAAAGGAGAATTTAATAGACACTGGAATCTGCCCAAGACAAAAATAGACAAAAAAAAAAACAACGACGATTAACCCCAATAAAGAATTTGGGATCACAACGATTTTTAAGAAACCTTAGATTTTGGTTATTCACTGTACTAATTGAAATAAATTTCATTTTGTTATTATTTTATTACAATTTTTATAAAAAAAATTAAAAAAAAAACCCTCCCATTCTAAAACCATTATTTAAAAAAACTAAATTTATAAAAACAGTTATTTTTCTATTTTTAAATTCTGAAAACTCTAAAAAAACCTCCCATTCTAAAACCCTTTGATTTATACAGCTTAGCCAAAATGAAAAAAAAGAGAAGCAAACCCTAATTATCCCAATCCTAATCTGCTCTCTTTCTATCAACGACGGCCGGTCTCTCGTCGCCAGTCATCTGTCTGCTTGTCTCTGCTTCGTGCGATCGTCTGCGGTCTGCCTCTCTCTCTCATTCATCTTCCGTCCTCTGGTTCGTCGTCGGTCGATTTTGTCAACGTAAGCTTCTCCTTTCTGGGTTTTTCTTCTAGGACTCGCGTATGAACAGAAGCCGCTGCAAGTGGAATTTGGTTTACTTATCTCTATCTGTTGCTAGGATGCTTCACGTTTTGTGTTCCCTATTGAAGGATTCATGGGAGAGACGGAGAGAATCTTGTAATACATGTTTGGGCTTTTAAAATGGCTTGGTTTCTCATTGGGCGATTCTCGATTTCACTGGAGCTGCCATTGTCACAGGGTTTGTTTTATTGAATCAAAGAGAGAAATAGAAAAACCCCTTTTACTCTACCATGTTTGATCTCTTGCATCTTGATGTAGTATTTTGAGATTGTCTGCTACTTGGTTTAATTTGACAGAAACTTCTTTTGGAGATCAAATGTACATCCTATCTCATAACAGAGAGCGCATATATGTTTTTCCATCGTCACAAACATTGTTTTCCTCATCATTTACTAATTGAATAAGCAATTTTGGATAAAAGGTTTTGTTTTTCTTCTTTGTAGCTGAGATTGTTCGTCCTTATTTGTTTATGAACTTGCATGTTTTTTTTCAGAAAAAACAAGTTAGGGCCGACCCGAACCCGAACTGAGTCCTATAGGGCCGGGTTAGTCGCTAGGATTGTTGGTATCTTTCTTTGCAGAAGCAATTTCTCGGGGAAATTTTTCGCTGTTATCAGCAGGTCAGTCATTTCAGCTGCTAAATTTGTCTACGATTGTTTCTCATTCTTCTCTTAGTTGCTTAGATTTGTAGCCGCGTGCATAGTATGGTAAATTGAAATGGAATTTAAAACGACGTCATTTTTCAACTCAAGCTTCAGGGATTTCTTCTCACGGTTTTGTTGCCATCCTGTTGAAACACCAGGAGGAAAAGGCCTCACACATGGCGCTTTGTAGAGCTCGAGCTGCTTCTTCTGCTTTGTTCAAAAGTGCTGTCCGTCCAGTTTTTCGCAATTTCTCCACTGGTATGTACTCCTTAGTCTTCTTTCCATCTGTTGATTTTACTCTGGATTTCCTGTTTAGCTCTCGAGAAAAATGAGCGGGTAACTTTTTTAAAAAGAATGTTGTTTTCTGTCCGAAAAGTAGTTTTGCTTCTCTGTCCGAAAAAGAATGTTGTTTTCTGTCCGAAAAGTAGTTTTGCTTCAGCAATTTAGAAGCGCAGACGGGCATAACGTCTGTGATCAGGATCTAGCTCTTCTGTACATTTATATGCTGGAATTAAGTTGAGAAAGGTGTTTATATGTGTAGAACTTAAGCTTTGCGGTAAATCCATCCATGTCCTTGTGCGCTGAGTTTTACAGGCCCTCTCTTCACTTATCAGCTGCAGATGTGGCCGACGCACAAAACCAGTCCTTGATTGAGAACATGAAACGGGAGATGCTCCACATGGATATCAACTCAATGGTAGGAAGCTGCATGCCCTTAGGAATGATGCGGATTGGGACAATCATCCACAACATCGAGGTGAACCCAGGGCAGGGCGGGAAGCTGGTCCGAGCAGCTGGAACCAACGCCAAAATCCTCAAGGAACCCGCATCGGGGAGGTGCTTGATAAAACTTCCATCGGGCGACGAGAAATGGATTGATTCGAGATGCCGGGCCACAGTAGGGACAGTATCAAACCCTGGCCACGGAGCTAAGAAGCTGAGGAAGGCCGGGCAGAGCAGGTGGCTAGGGCGGAGACCAACGGTTAGAGGTGTGGCAATGAACCCAGTGGACCATCCCCATGGAGGAGGTGAGGGGAAAAGCAAGAGTAGCGGTTGCAGGGGGAGGACGTCCGTCTCGCCATGGGGAAAGCCATGCAAAGGGGGCTACAAAACCGCCCGGCTCAACAAGAAGAAGTAGACATTTGTATTTTGCTCATCCCTGATAGAGATTCAGACGTTTCTACCAGAATCAGAAGAAAAGCTTGCCGATGCGTGAGACGCAAGGCAAGGGACCGTACACATCACTCTGATGTTGCTCGTGTTTTTTCTGATGATATATAGTCTGTTAACAAGCTCCCCTGTTTTTCTATATCAATATATGAATAAATATATGATTTCGGTTTCAGGATTTATATATATATAATAAATTTCATGTTATGCTGACTCCTGCAGAGCATATTGGTGAGGAAGCAATACACGCCCACATGACTGCATGTGTTCTGTCAACTATATAATATAATTTGTGCCACATAAAGGGAGGGAGGGAGAGAGAGAGGGAGCTAAATATGGCGCTTGAAACGTGCTCCTGTAACCATTGGCAGTAATAATTTTCTCTGATCCCAAAAAGAAATTCGAAGGGGAAAAAACAGACAGCAAAACATCCTTATGTCGTTGTCATAAACTTTCTCTCCCAGCCATGGCGATCCCCGCTGCTATTGTCTTTGTTCCCCTGGGCGTGCTCTTCCTGGTCTCAGGCCTCATCGTCAACATTATTCAGGTCATTTCAATTTCATTCTCTCTCTCTCTCTCTCTCTCTCTCTCTCTCTCTTTTTTGTTTGTTTCCTTCAAGGATCTGGCGTTGTATCAAACCTATTCACACCGTCGAATCCCTCAAATTTGATCAGGATGACGCTTTCATTCTTGAAATGGTGTCTGATTCTGTTCACACATGAAGATCCCTGTCTTTGTAGTTTTGGGTTTTGTTTTTTTGTTTCGATTTCTTGAGATTCGACGTTGTCTTTTTCACGGCAAAATCTTTGGACTGGTTTTCATTGGACAAGAAATCAAAAGTTATACAAATGGGTTGTATGTATGTTTTCTGTCGGTACAGGTGGTCCTCGTCATCATTGTTCTCCCAATCTCGAGGAATTTGTACAGAAGAATAAACAAAGCAGTCGTCGAGTTACTATGGATGCAGCTTATATGGCTCGTTGATTGGTGGGCTGCTACCAAGGTTGTTCATTGTTTTCTCTTTCTAATGTCTGATCTTCCAGTTTGGTTCTGTTCGGTTTCGTAACGATCGTAATGTCGAATGTGCCATAAGAACACCTCAGTTCAAGATTACATGTCTTGTCCTGTCGTAGCCAGACACCAAGAAAAACCATTTCAAAGAATATGACCGAATGGCCCAGGAGAAAAAAGTACAAGAACTACTGATCTTGACAACCTTGTTCTTGCTGCAGGTTAATCTGTACATCGATGCAGAAACTCTAGAGTCACTCGGTGAGACGATAATGCTGGCGAAAAATCTCGTACGGGTCCCCCGACAGTGAATGATCTCGGCTTCTTGTTTTGTACAAACTGCAGGGAAAGAACATGCTCTCCTCATTTGCAATCATCGAAGCGACATCGACTGGCTTATCGGCTGGGTCTTGGCTCAGGTCTGTTCCTCTTTCTCCATCATCTAACAAATTTCTGTCGAAACCCGAGTTTTCTTTCTTGCCTGTCGGAATCTTAAGAAGCTCATACTTTTCCTGTCACTCCATACGCTTTTTGATAATCTCCTCTTCTGAACTTTTGATATCTCTGCGTTTTCTGATAAGATATTAATGCTATCACAGCGTGCAGGTTGTCTCGGAAGCTCGCTAGCCATGATGAAGAAAGAAGCTAAGTACCTTCCAGTGAGTTTCTCTTTGGTCTTCTGCAAATTTTCTTGTATGCCCACCGAATGTTCCCGTGTTTCGCATGCACTGAAATGCCACAGTGCAGATCATAGGTTGGTCGATGTGGTTTTCGGAGTACATATTCCTGGAAAGAAGCTGGTCTAAAGACGAAACCACTCTGAAGGTGCTGCTTCTATGTCGTCCCGTCCCGTTTCCGTTTCCTTGCCATTACTTGTTCCTCTGCTCATGACAGAATATGATTTGGATGTCGTTTTCAGACAGGTTTAAAGCAACTGGAGAACTTTCCGACACCGTTTTGGTTAGCTCTTTTCGTCGAAGGGACTCGTTTCACCCAGCAGAAGCTCGAAGCTGCTAAAGAGTACGCCTCTTCTAGAGGCTTACCATCTCCTCGCAATGTCTTGATTCCTCGTACCAAGGCGGGTTTTCCCCTAAACGACCCTCGCCTCGTTCGTCAGTTTTTTTATCCGAATTTGCGATTCTTGAAAGTCTTGATTTCGGTATTTGCAATCAGGGATTTGTTACGGCGGTAACTCACATGCGGTCTTTCGTCCCGGCGATATATGACTGCACATTAGCAGTTCCGAGGACACAGCCTTCACCGACACTGCTTAGGATATTTAGCGGCCAGTCCTCCGAGGTAGGAACCGTTACCGAACCCGACAGACAAATTCGGTATCTTTTGCCTGCTTTTGTTTCGTTAAATCTACTCAAGGAGTTCGATGAACATCTCTTGGCTTAGTTCGTGTCTTCAGAACAAAAAGTCTGACTTGTTTCTGTCTCGATTCTTGATCAACCGAAGATTCGAAACGAATCCGTAATGGTTCTCACGCAGAAAACAAACCCATTTGTCGCGTTTTTTTGTTATAATGTTATAAGAAACCCTCTTTGCTTGAAGGTAAACCTGCAGATCAGACGGCACAAGATGAGCGAATTGCCAGAAACTTCAGATGGAATTGCACAATGGTGCAGAGATTTGTTCATCACCAAGGTAACAATAACCATTCTGCACACAAAAAAAAGAATCAATCTTTCCCTTTTGTTACGGATGGAACTAATCATTTCCCCGCGATCATCAGGACGTTCAACTCGAGACATATTTCACCAAGGACGCGTTCAGTGACCTGAACGTTCACGATATCGGCCGCCCAGTTAAGCCATTGATTGTACGGACAAACTCTGAGCTTTTGAATCCTTCGTTCACTTATCAGACAGTGCTTTGATGAAATGCTTCATTTTGAAACCTTGTGTCTATGTTCTTGTTGTCCGAAAAACAGGTGTTCACAACTTGGTTCAGTCTCCTCGTGTTCGGCGGGTTCAAGCTTCTGCAGTGGCTTTCCACCGTGGCCTCGTGGAAAATCATCTGTTTATCGGCTTTCTTGTTGGTTGTAACGACGATAATGATGCAAGTTCTCATTCAGTCTTCAGATTCAGAGCGTTCAACTCCTGCAAAGAGAGACGTGCATGATCCTGCTCAAGAACAGCTTCTCCCTGCGTAACCTGAGAAGCCTCTAGCCCAATCAGAAGGTTTGACTTTTTTTTGCTTTTACAGAATGTCTAAATGATTTTGATTTTTTTTTCCTTATTGGTAAAAGTTTTTTTCCCCTAATTAATTCAATGTTACTATCTCTTTTTTTTTGTGGATTGTATTTTTTATTTTTTCCTAATTGATTCAATGATATGACTAATGATAGTATTATTGTTATTATTGCTGTTAATGTGGCCTTTTGTTTTTTTAATATTCTGGATATGCTATTATTTGTGGTGTGATCAGATCCCAACTAATCCACAATGTGGCATCTCTTTTTTTTAAAAAAAAAATGGAACCATAATTGTTGTTTAATTAATTAAATCTCGAAATCCGTAGAATGTGATATTGATTTCTTATCCACTAAAACAGCCTAATTGGTAGAATCAGCTTTGATATTGAAAATAAATATACATATATTAATAAGATTTTTTTAAAAAATTATTACATTGTTAGATATAAAAAAACTAAAAATAAAATGTATTTTTTTTTAAATAAAAACCGAACTCTAACTACAAAATCTAATTTATGGGTTTAAACTAGGGATGTCAAACGAGCCGGCTCAGACCAGCTCGGACCAGCTCGTTTCGAGCCAGCTCATTTTCAGCCCAGCTCGTTAAGCCCATTTTTATTTGGGCCAGAAAATTTCTGACTCAGTCCAAGTCGCTTAACTCGCGAGCCGGCTCATATTTTTCTAAATACCTAAAAAAATCATATCAAATTATATAAAATCATATCCAAATGATATATCAACATAAAAAGAACATACCAATACATCCAAATCATACTTATATTCACAATCACAATTCATATACAAAAAATCATTTTCAAATAGATAAAATCATAATCCATCCATGTACAAAAAACCATTTTCAGATCCTAATCCATCCGAATCTATACATAAAAAATTATCTCCAAATCAAAATATCATACCAACAATATCAACATTTTCAAGTTTCAACGTAAAATTTTTTTTTACTCCAGCTCGCGAGCCAGCCGAGCCAGCTCGTTTGGGCTCGGCTCGTGGCGAGCTGGCTCACTCAGCCCATTTTTATTTGGGTTCAGATATTCTTGACTCGGCTCGGTAAAAAAGGAGCCAACCTCGAGCCGGCTCGCAAGCTCGACTCGTTTTGACATCCCTAGTTTAAACAGATTTAATGGATCGATCCAATCCATTATTATTATTAGATCGATGGGTGTACCCATTTGATATCACTAGTTGTGTTCTCTTCACTTATGTGGTAGTTAATATTCTTATTTTGTCATGCAAATAAATAGTTTCCTTACGGATATTTGATATTACGTTTTTCGCTGCAAAGGAAACAGTACGCATGGAATATAACAAAAAAACTTAGATTTATTTATTTTTGGTAAATTTATAATTTTCTATAAATAAAATAAGATAATTTAGATTTAATATCAAAATAAAATATTCATCAAAATATAAACTTAAATTTAATCATATGAATGAAATATTATTATAGAATGAATTTATAAAAATATTCAAACTCAGAGTAGAATATTTTTTGGATTAAATTTGATATTTGATATTTTTTGTTTGTAATCACTAATGGATGAATTATTGTAATAAATATCAAATAAAATATGTTTAATAAATTATATAGCTAATGTTTTTTTAAGAATGTAAAAACGTCCATTTTTGTAGTACAGACCATTCGGAAATTTTCAAAGATTGATAGTTCGGATTTATATACAAATATAGTTATAAATATATATACATATATAAAATAAGAGTGAATATTTGATCATTTAATTCTATAGAAATATATACTAATCGATTTTTATTAAGAAAAATGTATATTGTCTTAAGACATTTTTTCGTTTTTTTTTCAATTTTTTAAAATTCGATCAGATTCGATTCGATTATTTAGAAATGTTACCATTCAATTTTTTGAATGATTCGATTTGGAAATGATATCGATTTTTTCGGTTCGATTCGAAAATGAAATCGATTTTTTCGGTTCGTTTCAAAAACAGTACCGAGTTTTTTGGTTCGTTTCGAAAACAGTACCGAGTTTTTTAGTTCGGTTCGAAAACGGTACCGAGGTTTTCGGTTCGATTCAAAAACGATTCGATTTTTTCGGTTCGAAAACGGTATCGCTTTTTCGGTTCGGTTCGAAAATGGTACCGAGTTTTTCAGTTCGATTCGGAAACGATTTCGATTTTTTAGGTATTTTTCGAAAATGGTACCGAGTTTTTTGGTTCGTTTCGAAAACGGTAACGAGTTTTTCGGTTCGGTTCGAAAACGATTTCGATTTTTTCAATTTGAAGACTATCACTTTTTCGGTTCAGTTCGAAAATAGTACCGATTTTTTTCGGTTCGTTTCGAAACGATACCAAATTTTTCGATTTGTTTTGGAAACGGTACCCAAATATTTGGATTTGCATATTTTTGGTTCGCATATGCATACATGTGTATATAGATATACATATATTACTATTTAGATATTTATATATAATAGTTTTAGATATATATATATATATAATAGTTTTAGTTACATATATATAATGATATATATAATGAGTTTAATGAATTTATGTTGATGATGCAGTTGGTTTAATGGATTTAATGGGTTAAAACCTATTTAACCCATTTAAAAAAATTACTTAAATAGGTTAAATCCATTTGGATCAATAATCGGGTTGAGTTGGATCAACCTAGATAACTCAACTTATATTGATATCCCTAAACACAAGGTGTTGTTCGATTCAAATACCTCATGTACAAACTATTATAAAAAAAAATATTAACTATAATGGATAATAATAATAACATCGTATATAAATAATTGAATTTTTATAAAAACTTTAAATCAATATTTTAATTATAAAATTTCTATATAAATATTTAAATTTTTATAAATCTTCTAAATAAAATTAAAATTTATTAACCGCATTTAATTTATAACAAAATTTATCAAAAATTGATGATTTAATCTTGTTTAACGCCTTATTTTATTTAGAAGATTTTTAAAAATATAAATATTTTTATATAAGTTTTGAAAATTTAAGATTATATTTAAAGTTTTATTTTATTTGAGAGATTTTTAAAAATATAAATATTTTTATATATGTTCTGAAAAATTAAGATTTTATATGAAAATTAAGATATTTATATAAAAATTTTATAGTTTAAATATTTGTTTGGTAATTTTGTAAAACTATTTTTACTAATAAGAGAAAACCAGAGTTCATTTCTTCCTCTGGCTCTTGTACCGATCTTGTACCGTTTGACTTAGCGTCTTCAACTTCTTCTTCTCCAATACCTATAGAGGTCGAGCCCAGTTCTTTTTCCCGTTCCCAATACGAAATCCGAGTCGTTTTATCAAACCCAGAATTCAAAATACGAAATCCAGACATGGGCTCGCTGAAGAACGACGAAGAGACGGAGCAAATTGAGGGAAAATCCATGGAGGCGATCTTGTACGTCAATGGCGTCCGTAGGGTTCTTCCCGATGGTTTGGCTCATATGACGCTTCTCGAATACCTCAGAGGTTTACAACACGATCCTTTATTACATTTTTTTTGTTTCTCCTGTTTGGTTCCCGAGAAAATCCTTGGATTCTGGTGTTGGAGTGATGAAAAAGTACTATTCTGTTCATCGAGTCATGTGGGCTAATGGTTTAAGCTAGGATGCTGACATATCCATGTTCAATCCTGCATGTGGATATTAAATTGGTCACTAGGCTAAAGGGAAAAAAATACTGAATTTTCCCTCTTTCTTGAGCTGCCTCTATGCCCAGGAAATTATAATTTGAAATCAATTTGATGTTGAATTTTCTTACTAGCTTCCCATCAAGGCATGTACATACAGATTCACATGATTTTACATTTCAAGGTGTAAGTTTTAGAGCTTCAGTGATGTATATTTGATGGATTAGATACTGGAATTTCACAAATTGAAATTATGTTTGATCCACAATCTCTTGAGACATCTTAAACTGGAAGATGATTGAACTCCATTTCAGTAAGACTATGCTAAGAGTGAGATTGGTGTATGGCCTGTGCAGATCAGCTTTCTTCTGGATGTTCTCAAGGTTTTTGACTTACAGTTGTTTCTTCTGTCCACTAGATGTAGGACTAACCGGGACAAAGCTGGGATGTGGCGAAGGTGGTTGTGGGGCTTGCACAGTGATGATCTCCAATTATGACAGAAGATCAAAGACATGTTTGTGGGTCTCTTTTTCTCTTCCTGTCCGTTTATTTGCATCAGTTAGGTCTTTCTGTCAAGCTTATTAGGAATTTGGTGTAGGCATTATGCTGTTAATGCTTGTTTGGCTCCTCTCTATTCTGTGGAAGGCATGCATGTAATCACCATTGAAGGGGTTGGGAATCGTAAACTTGGCTTGCACCCAGTTCAGGTAATTTTCTTTCTCAGTGATTCTTGTACGATGTAGTTCTTATCGTTTGTAGAAAATATTCGGTGTTAAAGCCCAGTGTTTGATCCATATTCTCTCAGAAGTCATTGGCATCTCTGCATGGCTCCCAATGTGGGTTTTGTACTCCTGGGTTTATCATGTCAATGTATGCTTTATTGAGGTCAAGCAAAAACCCGCCTTCAGAAGAGGAGATTGAAGAATGCCTTGCAGGAAATTTATGCCGTTGTACTGGTTACAGACCGATTATCGATGCATTCCGGGTTTTTGCAAAAACTGATGATGCTTTGTACTCTGGTTTACCTTCACTTAGCCTTCAAGATGGACAAAATATTTGCCCGTCTACTGGTAAGCCTTGTTCATGTGGATCGAAAGCAAAAAATGCCACAGCCATTTGTGACAGCAACAGGTATCGACCTGTCTCATTTAGTGATATAGATGGGAGCAAGTATGTAGATAAGGAGCTTATCTTTCCTCCCGAACTTTCGTTGAGAAAAACAGCTCCATTAAAGCTTACTGGAGCCAGAGGTCTTATCTGGTACAGACCTGTAAGACTGCAGCAATTGCTCGAGATTAAAGCAAAATACCCAGATGCAAAACTACTGGTAGGTAATACAGAGGTTGGAATAGAGATGAGATTGAAGGGGTTAGAATACTGGGTGCTGATATCTGTTGCTCAAATCCCAGAACTCAATGTGTTGCATGTTGATGATAACGGAATCGAGATCGGTTCTGCTGTGAGACTGTCTGAACTCCTAAGATTGTTCAGGAGTGTCATAAAGGAGCGTCCGGACCATGAAACATCAGCCTGCAAAGCTTTTGTTGAGCAGCTGAAGTGGTTTGCCGGGACACAAATAAGAAATGTTGCTTGTGTTGGAGGGAATATCTGTACAGCTAGTCCGATATCTGATTTGAATCCTCTCTGGATGTCTTCGAGCGCAGAATTTAGGGTAATTGACGATGAGAAGAACGTTAGGACTGTACTTGCGGAAGATTTCTTCATTGGCTACCGTAGTGTGGATCTGCGGAGAAACGAGATTTTGCTGTCCGTATTCCTACCATGGACAAGGCCCTTGGAGTATGTGAAAGAATTTAAGCAGGCCCATCGAAGGGATGATGATATTGCTCTCGTCAATGCTGGAATGCGTGTCTTTCTTGAAGAGAAAGGCCAAGAGCTGATCGTTTCTGATGCATCAATCGCTTATGGCGGTGTGGCTGCTCTTTCTTTTTGTGCAAGAAAGACTAAAGAGTTTCTGATTGGAAAGGTTTGGAATTATGATCTTCTGCAAGATGCTCTGAAAGTCATACAGAACGATGTTTTAATCAGGGAAGATGCTCCTGGTGGAATGGTGGAGTTCCGGAATTCTCTGACACTCAGTTTCTTCTTTAAATTCTTCTTATGGGTTTCTCATCAGATTTCTATTGTAAGACCGGCAGTAGAGAGCATTCCACCTTCCCATTTTTCAGCTGTGCAACCGGTTTCTCGGCCATCTAGAATCGGATGTCAAGACTATGAAACAGTAAAGCAGGGGACATCTGTTGGCTCATCAGAGATTCATCTTTCAGCGAAAATGCAGGTATGTTCCATTGAAAAATTTGGTATTTTCTGGTATGATTTTAATAATTGGCCATAATGTCTTCATGTTTTCAATTTTATTCTTTGGTTATGCTGCTAGTTGTGCCGTAAAAATGTAACAGAGCAGCTTGTGTTTTTCATGTAGGTAACTGGAGAGGCTGAATATACTGATGATATACCAGTGCCTCCTAATACCTTGCATGCTGCCTTAGTACTAAGCAAAGTGCCTCATGCCCGTATTCTAGCAGTAGATGATGCAGCAGCTAAAGCTTCACCTGGTTTTGCTGGTCTGTTTCTTGCCAAAGATGTCCCTGCAAACAATAAGATTGGACCAATTGTCGCTGATGAAGAACTATTTGCTACTGATGTGGTCACATGTGTTGGCCAAGTAAGGAGGAAAAAAAATTCTTTCACTTTCTTACAGTTTATCATTAACTCTTGTGTCACACTCTGTATGGTAAGGAAAGCGATATAGACAACATCAAATATCAAGAAAGAGTAACATGGCCATTGTTTATAGATCACCAAGACTAAATGTTAGTTTTCATTTGCGTGCCAGTTGTTTTGTTAGATATATAGCTTTCGGTGTTTTCCATTTTATTCATCAACTCATATTTTTTCAGGTCATTGGAGTGGTTGTTGCAGATACTCATGAAAATGCAAAAACGGCAGCAGGAAAAGTTCATGTAGAGTATGAAAAATTACCGGCCATATTATCAATCAAGGAGGCTATTGATGCTAAAAGCTTTCATCCCAACACAGAGAAATGGTTAAGAAAAGGAGATGTGGAGCTGTGTTTTGAATCTGGTCAATGTGATCGGATAATAGAGGGAGAGGTTCAAATGGGTGGTCAAGAGCATTTTTACTTGGAGCCTCATGGTAGTTTGGTTTGGACAGTGGACGGTGGCAGCGAGGTTCATATGGTCTCTTCCACTCAAGTAAGCACATTCCTTTAGTTTAACTTCTTGTTCTGTCCTAGATTCTTGATTGTTACGGCATAGCTTTCATAAAAAAAATCACTTCTGCTTTATGGAATCAGTCTATGAATAAGGAAAAGTCACTTCATATATTATGAACAAGGGACCGATTTGGAAGTGTTGCAGATTCTGAAAGAGTTAACCTGAGATCGAAATGAGTGAAGAAGAAGGATTCATGCGGCCGATCCCAAATGAATTTGGGAAAGAGGTGTTGTTGTTGTTGTTGTTGTAAATCGAATTCATGTGAATCTGGGGTTCTGAAACCAATTTCGATTTGCCCATAAACTATTCAGCAGAAATTTGTGAAGGCATAAAAATAAGTTGTAGTTTTCATGTGACATGTGATGTTTCAGCATTAAAATATTGATTTAATATATATGTATGTGCGTGTAGGCTCCTCAAAAGCACCAGCAGTATGTTTCTCGTGTTCTTGGTCTTCCGATGTCTAAAGTGGTTTGCAAAACCAAGCGAATTGGTGGTGGCTTTGGTGGTAAGGAGACGAGGTCGGGTTTCGTTGCTGCGGTTGCTTCTGTTCCTTCCTATCTGTTGAATCGGCCAGTGAAGCTTATATTGGACAGAGATGTGGACATGATGATAACTGGTCACCGTCATAGTTTTCTGGGAAAATACAAGGTAACCTTTGTTTCCTCACATAGAACTCTTTCTTAATTGTCTCCATCTATTCCCAGGAACGATAAGTTGGAAATGACTGAAATCTGCCAACGGAACGAAGAAAACGAGCTAGATTAAACTGTTAGGCAGACAAAATAGTCATTTTCTATTGGTTTTTTTCCTATTTGATATTCATCTTTCCATCTGTATATTGGATTTAGTTGGATGGGATAATATTACAGGTCGGGTTTACGAATGAGGGGAAGGTGTTGGCTTTGGATCTTGAAATCTACAATAATGGTGGAAACTCTCTGGATCTTTCCCTTTCTGTTGTCGAACGTGCCATGTTTCACTCGGATAATGTTTATGAGATTCCAAACATGAGGATCGTAGGGAAGGTTTGCTTTACTAATTTTCCCAGTAACACCGCTTTCCGAGGGTTTGGAGGGCCCCAAGGCATGCTTATTACCGAGAACTGGATGCAGAGAATAGCCGCTGAACTCGATAAAAGCCCGGAAGAAATACAAGTGAGTTTTTTATGCTCCTTTATATATTTTTGGTCATCAGTTCTTGGCAAAGTGTTTAAATCTGTTTCTTATTCAAATTACGTGAATTTTTAGGAGATGAATTTCCAAGTTGAAGGATCGATTACGCATTACGGCCAGAGACTTGAGTACTGTACGCTGCATCAACTGTGGGCTGAGCTGAAAACATCCTGCGATTTTTTAAAAGTCCGTAGAGAAGTTGATGAGTTTAATCGGGACAATCGGTGGAAAAAGCGTGGGATAGCTATGGTTCCCACGAAATTCGGCATTTCCTTTACCACAAAGTTCTTGAATCAGGTGATTCAACTGTGAGGCAAATAATGCGTTTTCAGTTTTAGTTTATCTTTCGAGTTATTAACAAAAAAAGGAAGAATCACTGCGGAAGGAAATAGCTTATCTTCATATTTTTCATCTGCTTTCTGACATCTTGTAGCTGTTAAGGGATGACTGTCAGAAATCTGACCGATGGCTAAGCTTGCAAAGTATCTGATTTTATAGGCAGGTGCTCTTGTTCATGTTTACACCGACGGGACAGTTTTAGTTACGCATGGCGGTGTGGAGATGGGGCAAGGATTACATACCAAAGTTGCCCAAATCGCGGCCACTGCCTTTGGCATTCCCCTGAGTTCGGTATATATCTCGGAAACAAGCACCGACAAGGTATAATCACAAATCCCTGACAATGTTATGATACCATTTCATGAGTGATAATCCGAACCTGTTTTCTGTTTTCTCGTCAGAACTTGGTATGTAATGCCATTAAGCTTTTACCTCGTTGATTCCTTGGTCTGGTCTTGATCTCTTAAAACTGTCTCTTTGATCTGTCATAGGTTCCGAATGCATCTCCGACCGCTGCTTCTGCGAGTTCTGATATGTACGGTGCTGCAGTTTTGGATGCTTGTGAGCAGATAAAAGCGAGAATGGAGCCTGTTGCATCTAAGCACAATTTCAGCTCTTTTGCCGAGGTATATACACTATTCCTGAACCAGCTTCCGTTTATATCCATACCCAAACACTCGCACCCGCATTTGGAATTGTACACCCGCGAAAAGAAAATCACTAGTTAACAGTTGATGAGAAAGTCATTTACTTTTCTGGTTATGTTGTGTAGCTGGCAAGTGCGTGTCATTTACAACGGATAGACCTATCTGCCCACGGGTTCCACATCGTGCCCGATATCGGGTTTGACTGGAAAACTGGAAAAGGGACTGCGTTTAGGTACTACACGTACGGATCGGCCTTTGCGGAAGTCGAGATCGATACATTGACAGGTGATTTTCATACGAGAACAGCCGACGTTATCTTGGACCTCGGATATTCTCTCAACCCATCCATTGATGTCGGACAGGTGCAACCTCTTTTCAGCTCTGTAGTAAACATTTCTCTTCTTACAAATCAAATGGATTGAAGAAACTCTCATGTAATTCACCATTGCAGATAGAAGGAGCATTCATACAAGGGCTGGGCTGGGTAGCTCTGGAAGAACTCAAATGGGGAGATGCAGCTCACCGATGGATCCGACCCGGAACCTTATTCACAGCTGGACCCGGAAACTACAAGATCCCGTCGGTCAACGACATTCCGTTCAAATTCAAAGTTTCCCTCCTGAAGGTACAACACTTTGATTTTATTGCAGGATCGTTGTCGATGTTCAAGGCTGAGTGATCTGATCTTATTACTTTGAAACCTGTCTCGGAAAAAGGGTCACCCGAACGTGAAGGCGATACATTCATCGAAGGCGGTGGGAGAGCCTCCGTTCTTCCTGGCGTCAGCCGTCTTCTTCGGGATAAAGGACGCCATTAGAGCGGCTCGGGCCGAGGTGGGACTCAAGGAATGGTTTCCTCTGGACAGTCCGGCCACTCCCGAGCGTATCAGGATGGCTTGTCTCGACGACTTCTCCTCTCCCTTTGTCTCTTCCGGTTTCCATCCCAAACTTAGCGTTTGATCTCTTTCCTTTGGTCTCTCTACTGCACGATGGTCATGAGTCAATTCTTCGGTCATGGATGATCTCATACACGAATATCATGCAAGTTGATGTGATGAGTCTCGTAATTATGAACGGTCATGTAGATGGCACGGTCAGTCTTGTAATTGATACATGGCATGTAGAACCGGCATGGTCTATATAATGCATATGAATGGTTCGTTATTCATGATTGGCATGGAAGTCATACAAAATCACGCGTCATGATAAAACAATAGAGGGGTAAAAATGTCCTAACGGCTCTATTGTACAAAGTTTGTAACGTAAAGAGTTCTATCAAATAATCTCATTTTTATAAAAAAAAAGTTTGTTTTTAAATAGTGAAAAAAAGAGAGAAGTCTTCAAATATTTTTTTTTGAAGGGTTATTTTGACAAATATCTATTAAAATAGTGACTATAATTAAACTTTTAAGGGTCGATATAAGCAAGATTTTGATTTGATTTAAATTTTAATATAATGAATTTAAATATGGACGAGGGTACAATAAAATTACAGAATTTTTGTGAGGTATTGGTGAAATTAAAATCGAAAATTAGCTTGGATTTTTTTCCATATAAAAAAATTGAAATAATTGTTACTTTGTTTGCTGGGCAAGAAACTTTGACAAACAATTTAATGAAACAGTGTGTAATCAAAGAAAAGTGGAAGCCCAGCACTTCAAACTTGACCAAACGTTGATATTTATCTAAGCACATACGTGTGCAGATGGAAACACTCAAACTAGGGTAGTCATTTCGGTTCGGTACTTTGAAATCGGATCGAATCGAACCGAAAAAACGGTACTTTACCTATCTTTTTTTAATAAAATCCGGAACCGAACCGAACCGAACATAATATAAAAACCGATTGGTACCTATTTTTGCAAAACTGAAAAAACCGAACGGATCCATTCCTAACTCAAACCCACGTACACAAATGATCTATAATTGTCAATCATTTTCGGACCCTGTGTAATATATATATATATATATAAAAATTAATTTCTAAAAGTTTTATATTTTATAAAATATATTTAAATTTATAAAATTTTAAATGTAATTCTATTAAATATAATATAAATAATCATATTTAAAAATAAAAGATCGCTTTTTAATAATGTAATATTTAAATGAAAAGAGATGATAATTGTTTTATATTAAAAAAAAAGACATTATTTATAACAAATCCCATATACTAATCAATTTTATAATTAATTATTTATAAAATTGTGTGTGGGCCCTCCAATTTCTGAGGTGGCTCTGTATATATAGTATACATTCAGACATACACAGAGAAGTGCAAGATTCGACCATTGAGAGAAAATATAGTCTATCAAAAGCACAGTCGCATATCTTAAACTCGAAGTGGCAACAATGTCTGGACGCAGGCAAGTTCTCACACTTGTACATACATACATACACACATGCATACATACGTACATACATAACTATATATGTGTGATTAAATTAATTATAAAAAGGAAATTTCCAACAGATTGGAGGGCAAAGTAGTAATTATAACCGGCGGAGCGAGCGGCATAGGAGCCGAGGCGGCGAGATTGTTCGTGGAAAACGGAGCTCGGGTAGTGATAGTAGACGTGCAGGACGAGATGGGCAAAAACGTCGCCGTTTCGATAGGCGAAGAGCAAGCCACGTACCACCGCTGCGACGTGACGGACGTGTCGCAGGTCGAAGACACCGTGAAGTTCACTGTCCAAAAGCACGGACGGCTCGACGTCCTCTTCAGCAACGCCGGAGTCATGGAACCCTTCAAGAGCTTCCTCGACCTTGACCTCGACCGCCTCGACAGAACCATGGCCGTCAACCTCCGCGGCTCGGCCGCTTTCATCAAGCACGCGGCCCGCGCCATGGTTGACCACGGGACCCGCGGCTCGATCATTTGCACCACGAGCGTGCTGGCCGAGATCGCCGGCTCGGGCCCACACGCGTACACGGCGTCGAAGCATGGGCTGGTGGGGTTGGTGATGTCAGCATGCGGCGAGCTGGGGAAGTACGGGATTAGGGTTAACGGGATCGCGCCGTTCGCGGTGGTGACGGGGATGAGCACGGGAGGCGACCCGGCCGCCGGAAAGTACGTGGAGGAGTACTGCGCCGCCGCGGGGAATCTCAAGGGCTTGGTGTTGAAGGC